AATGATTGATTTGAAATGCCATTTTCTTAATGTCTTTCATTTTTGTAAAGCACTTTGAACTGCCTTGTGTTGAAAAGTGCTATATAAATAAATTTGCCTTGCCTTGCCTTACTGTATAGAAAATACATGGTTGAATGAGAATAGTGTTGACGTACTGCTCAGTGAAAAGTGTTGTTGATTTACAGAAGAGTACATTCTGAACTAAACTGTCTTTTCATAATATTATGCAATTGCATGCAATTTAGATTCAAAATGAAAAGGTGAAAAGAGGAGAAAGAAGTATTATTTTACTGTTGAATCTGTCGTACCCTGCAGAATTACAATTTAAATATTTAGAGTTTGTCTTATTATATTCCAGAATCAGGTTTATTGCTATGTATTGCATTTACACACACATGGATTTAGCTTTGGTGTACAATGATGCAAACATAAACACTGAAGGAGGAATTGAGTTGTAAAATAAGAGCAAATGAAGAACTGTTATAACAAATGTAAAAAGTAAAAAATGTAAGTAAATAATGTGTACAGTATATTTGAATTTCAACAGTGGAAGAGTTTGCATTTAAAAGTAACTCTTCAGAAATATGCACAGAGGAATGTGCAAGCTTTCCTTTTTGGAGTTGAAAGAATGATACAAATGTGTCACAGGATGTCACAAGTTGTTCCTTGAAGTATTGCATGTAAATATGTGTGTGTGATCTGCAAAACAAATCACCCCCTGGCGACAGCAAAGTCAAGGTTGACAGATTAATGACCTTGTTTCTTTGAGCCATTTTGTGGTTCGGCTGTGTACTCTGTCATTATTACATGTTAGTTTTTGGAAATTGACACTAAAAATCTAATATTAGATGTTTAGACGTCTCGACTGGCCAGAAAATGTAATAATTTATCAACAATTTAAATCAGTGTCCGTTCAAATTTGTAAACACATTATACATTAAACACATTATACATTTGCTTCTCTCGACCCCTAATGTTTACATGCTGCTGAAATATTTCCAAATTGGGAACAATAAAGTTAATCTTATCTTGTCTTTATCTGTATTACTCTTCTCCTTTTTTTTTACGTAATCCGCATTTTTTGCTTGTTCGTTGTTAATCCTTATTGGCAGATTTTCAAGTTTGTGTTATGATTACATTTAATTCAGATTCCAATACTTTCAAAGCATCCGTATTACTATTTGACACTCCCCCCCTACCTTCCCCAATACAACATTGCACAATAATTAATAAGAAAAATTAAAGCACTTTACTTGTTCTTACAAGCAAATTTAAAGATGATCAAATTGAATATACCGTAGAATAGTTATTTAGTATATTACTATGAGCTCAATTCACTAATCATCATAACAAAAATGTGGGAATCAACAAGACCACTATATTCAAATATATGAAAATCCTTTAGCACGAAGGGTTCAGACAGCGCCATGGGTTCAGTGTTGTTACATTTCCGAGGGCCTATGAATGCATCTTTTCCGGGTTTCTACAGGAAGTGACGACACGCGTTGTTTCGGCTTTTCTCGTGCGGTAGCAGCTCCGTAAGTATTATTTACCTAAAATCAATTTCTAAACTACCCTTTAAATGAATTTTAGTGAAATTACTTTTTGAAACTTTTCATTTTTGAATGTTCACAATAGACAGGTTAAACAAATTAACATTGGTGTCTTATTATTCATCGTTGTTGGTCCAGGTTAGCATGCTAGCAACTTGTTAGCCGTAGTGGACAACTCGCTAGCTTCTGTTCTTTAGCAATAATTAGCAAACCTTTATTTGCCTTATAAAAGACAGCAGATGTCTCTTATGCAATAAGATAAGTATTACGTTATTTAAAGGTCTGATGAGCAAAACGCATACTGACAATACATTGCTTAACTTGTTGTTGGATGTGATTCTTCAATTAGATGAAATAACTAAAGCTACATTACCGCACAACCATATCACCTGAAATGTTTCCCCTTCAGACACTTTGTAGGTAGTTTCCGCACTTTTGTGTTAAAACAGACTTAGACGTAGGGTAGTGTAACATATGTTGTTAGATTCAAATGAGGCGACTGCTGCCTCATTATTGACAAGTCGGCTTGATATTTATGACAGGAGCTTCATGTTTCTAGCGACCCCTCTCTATTTAAATGTGCTCGGGTCTTGGGTGTGTACTTTTCTGAACATCACTTGGTTTTTATTTGGTTTGTATCTGTTCTTCCTAGTTTGTATCTCAATGATGTAAGTTGCTTTGGATAAACATGTTAATGTAATCTTTGTTCTCCTCTCTTCAGATCTATTAAAGATGACTACAGCTGCAAGACCAACATTTGAGCCGGCCAGAGGAGGGCGAGGTAAGGGAGAAGGTGGAGGGGATTTAAGTGCCCTGTCAAAGCAGTATTCCAGTCGAGATCTCCCGGGTCACACAAAGATCAAATACAGGTCAGTATTACAAAAATGCGTAGAATGATTTTTGTATGTTGTTATCTGTGTTTCACTGAGTCAACCGCTGATTGTTATCCAGTATTTTTGTTGCTGAACTCTTCCTACTTCACTTTCTACCTGCTCACTCTGAAGGAGGACATTTGCTGGAAATATAACAAATGTGTTTTCTTCTCAGACAACCTACCCAGGATAACCAGGAAGAGGTGCGTGCCCGTGACTTCCGTAGGGAGCTGGAGGAAAGGGAGCGTGTAGTTGCACGTGAGAAGACCCGAGAGAGAGGACCAAGAGGTTGGTATTTCTGCCGAGATTGAATGTTTTTTTAACATGTCTTCTATTCTTTATTCCTATGCAAGTTACTCATGTTATGTAACGTATATACCCATCAAACCAATAATTGATATACTGCATTGACCCTAATTTTCCAGAGCACACCACATCATCATCATCGTCATCATCCTCAAAGAGGCCCAGACTAGATCAGATCCCAGCAGCCAACCTTGATGCTGACGACCCTCTCACCGATGTAAGAGCATGCCCTGCAATATTTAATCACACTTTTTGGGGATTAGAACTCCCTCATCATTGATGCCTGGTTATTTATAGGATGACGAGGACGAGGACTCTGAGGAGGACAGCGATGACGACGACACTGCAGCGCTTCTGGCAGAACTGGAGAAGATCAAGAAGGAACGGGCTGAAGAGCAAGAACGCAAAGTAAAGTTTGAACCACTGCACAGCTGACAAGTGAAGACACCATTTCTGTTTGAGATGAGGCAAATGTGCTGTCATTGAGTGACGTTGTTTCTTTTCCCATTTTAGGAGCGGGAGCAGAAGGCAGAGGAGGAGAGAATTCGCATGGAGAATATATTGAGTGGCAATCCATTGATCAATTTGGCCGGGCAGCAGCAGCTGCAGCAACAGCAACAGCAAGTCGCCCCGACTCAGACTACATTCAGAGTCAAGAGAAGGTATGGCTTAAAGACACATCATGAGTTTTATGTATAAAGAAAAATGTTCTCTTCACTTTCCACTTATAATCCACTCAAATTCAATTAAAATGAATATCTTTTTAGGTGGGATGATGACGTTGTGTTCAAGAACTGCGCCAAAGGAGTTGACGAAGCAAGGAAGGAGAAACGCTTTATCAATGACACACTGCGCTCTGAGTTCCACAAGAAATTTATGGAGAAATATGTAAAGTAAAGACTTGATGTTTTTTTGTTTTTTTTTAACCTTTTGTTTAGACTTCGCTCTCCTTTCCCTCAATCCCAAGATTGACAAATGGCATTCACATACATTCTGTATTCAAATGCATTAGTATTTGTACAGTCAACAAGTAAGATGTTGTATATAAATGAGTGGGAAAGATACATCCTTTGAATAAAGCAAATTAAAAGTTGAAAATGTCTTTCTGTAGGTTTTTCTTTTTAAATAAAATTAACATTTCAATAAACTTTAAGATTGTGTTGGCTTGCAGGAATTTATTTGAGGAAATCCATGTCATTTTGGAGGATTCTCTTTTAAAGGGCATTGTTCCTTAAATATGTATTCTACCTTTTTCCTGAAATGTGGGGTTTTGGTTTTAATGTCCTATTGTGCACGATAACACACTTAAAACTTTAACAGAATTGGTTTTATGCAATCATAATTGAATGAACCTTTTGAGATAAAGGAATTAAATAGGCAAAAAGATTTGAATGATGTAATTAGTTCATCAAATTCTTCTAAGTTTTCTTCAAAGTACAGTCGCATTATTTTGAAATTTAAAAGGAAATTCATTTGGGGTGCGAGTTCTGATTTCAGGCTTTCTGTCCTATTTGTAATAGAATTGTATTTTCATTTGGCTAGTTGTGTAAAGCACTGTTTATTTCATCCCTACTTGAAGTAAATGTACAAATAATTTTTGGAAAGATATTTATAAATCTCTTACTTTAAAAAAAAGAAGTGGTTATAGTTTCATCTAGTTTTTAGTGGCATTTCAACATAAAGATAGCTGGTGAAAAAAATATTTTATGTTCACTGCAGCCTATAATCACACACGCTTAATTCTATAGTAGAATGAAAACCTGTGTTCCAACATGAATATGATAAAAAAAAAAAAAAAAAAATCACTTTAATTATACAATCATGTATTGTTAAAATGTTGGGGTAGACATTTTAAACACTTAAATGCTCACATTCAAGCTTCAATGTTTGATTGCAAAGGAGATATATATTTAGGTCCATGTGCAGAATAAACACCAGTAAAAATGAGTGCTGCATTTTTTATTCCAAGTAGATGCAATGAACCCAAAAAATGAATGAATGATTCTTTGCAATATGGATAATTTGGAACGCAATAAGTGTGTACGTGTTGTGTTTCTCGAAAACAGTTAGGATAATACAACTATAACGATAATGATTTGATATTATCCGCGGTTTGAATGCATTTAAGTCCCTGACATTTCTTTAAAAAGCATTTACCAACAAATGCCTGTTCCAGATGTTTCTGAATCAAATCAGAAGGTCCACAGCGCATGCAGCCCTCCGGCAGGGGGCGCCCGCTCCAACAATCGCTCCATTGTGACAGGCTTTGGGAGGCTGCTGGGAAAACATGGCAGCTTCCTTTCGTTGGTGGGGATTTACTGAACTCCGAGGGGGGATTTAAAGACATTCTTCAGTGTATACGGGGATCTTTAGAGCATTATTCGGTGCCAACAGCACCAGATATCCTAACGCTTGAAGCAGGAGAACATGGAGAAGAGCGGCAGCATCGACAGCCTGGGCTCGAAGTGCTCCTCGTCCCGACAGCCAAGTGTTGATTCATTGTCCAGGTAGCTAAACGCACCACAACACGCCGCTTTTAAGCTAGCTAAAAGTTTTTAAAACAAAAAGACAGCTGTGTATTTCAGTGTTGTAACGGGACTTGACATGTCTAATACTAATGTTATTTTACTAAAACTTCAGGAGCGTCCGTTAAACCACAAATAATGCAATGTGCGATTAACAAACTGCCATGAAACGAACCCTGATGTTGACAGTTGGGCACCATTTAACTAGCCTGTCATTATCGGCCATTATCCCTTATAATGAAAAGGTCCAACAATCTTTTATAATGTAGGAGGGAAAATGTAAGCAAATGTCAATCGAAACAAATCAGATTCCAGAGTAATGCCACCCATTGTGTATTTGAATATTCAATAAATAGTTTAGGCTTTAAAACTTGTGAAAAACCAGCCCACGATGATGCCTTCAAGGTTCTTCATTCATACTTCCTCAGTATGCTTTACAGTTACACATCCTAAAGAAGAGGTGGAGGATGTATGCAGATCTTTTACTTGATTAAAAGTAGCAAAACAACAGTCTAGCAATACTCTGTTTTAAGTGAAAGTCCTGCATACATTATACATAAGTACGAGCATTATAACATAGGCTACTTAAAGTACCAAAAGTAAAAGTTGTCGTTATGCAGAATGGCCCATTTCAGAATTCAGAACATTTGATTATTATTAATGTGAACATCACCCACATTTTGAATTGATAATGTCTTATTTTATTCAATAATATTACACCATTTACTTGTTAATTATATTTTATATTATTTAAGTATATACTTTAGATGTAGTAAAGTGAAATGAACAATATTTGCCTTCGAGGTGTTTTGGAGTATAAGTATAAGTAACAGAAAATGGAGTAAGTACCTAAAATTATTCTTATTGAGTAAATTCACTCTCGCTGTTCTAAAGTTGCTACTCGGCTTATACTCGGCAATCATTTTTGTTAGGTGGCTAATATTTAATCAAATAACGCTTTCAGCATAAGTACAATGAGAATAACATGGCTGTAGTTACATTTTACTCTGAAAAGTTGTATTTCTTTTTTATAGTTTGTCCTGTTATCTCTCCACAGCACGTCCACTTCTCGCTCTGACCGCTCTGCCCAGGCCAAAGCAGCCTCTGCCATGTCTTGTGACTCCGGGGCCACTCCTACAGAGCTCTCCCCAGAGCTCAGGGTCAGTTACATGCACAAATGTCACTTACACAATGCTGATTTTTTTTATTTACTCATAAAAATGTCCAAAGCATGACTCTCCTCTTCTCTGCATTCTTCAGGTCAAGCCAAAAACTGCTGCCAAGGTACGCCTTCTTGTGAATTACAAACTAGACGAAGCAGTCTGAATAATAATAATTCCGTAGCTAGTTTAATATGTTCAGGTTAAGAGAGCGCTTCTCCTTTAGGTATAATATGTATCTTATCTTTTAAGCAGGTGCCTAGAGATTCAGACAAAGAAGAGCCACAGTTACTTCCAAATGAAACTGTTCATGACATGGGTACGTGCTCTCTTTGCATTCAAGCATTAAAGGCAAATTCGTTTTTTCCTATATGTGTTGTGCTTGGCTATAAATCATTTGTTATTTTTTATTTGTGTAGCCCAAGATGTCACCTACTTCTGTCCTTTCATCGGAGCAATGAGGGGGACGGTGACAGTAACCAACTACAGACTTTTCTTCAGATGCATGGACAGGGTATGCTTCTTGAATAAAACATTTAAAAAGCAGTATAAATCGCTCCAAAAGCGTACAGTTTTTATTAATGTGTAGTTTGTTTCTAGGAGCCATCATTTGTGTTGGACCTGCCCCTCGGGGTGGTGAGTCGTGTGGAAAAGATTGGAAGTGCCTCTAGTCGCGGCGACGTGTCATACGGGCTAGTATGCAAGGTGAGTAGGATGTGGAAACTAAACCTGCTTTATATGGCAACTCAGTAGATGGAACAGTGCACAGGCATAACGAATCTGAAATCACATTTTTTAAGAATAAGTCAGTCTATGAACATGCTATATTTCTACAATAGCATAGCAAAGATGCTTTACTGCTATGAAATCATATTTACATGTATACAACTATAGACCTCTGAGTATGTCCATGACCTGCTGCTCTGCCTATCTGCAGGATATGCGTAATCTGCGATTTGCTCACAAACAACTGGAGGACACACTGAGGAAGTCCATTTTCGAAGTGCTGGTGAAATTTGCGTTTCCTGTTTCCAACGGGCTAGTGAGTGATTTTTAAGCCTTGGTGTCTCTGTCACTGTTCATCAGCTCTGTCTGCTGGCTGAACACCTCTCCCTCTCTCCACAGCAAATCTTTGCCTGTGAATATGGCCAAGTGTTTCCTGAAAACGGATGGAAGGTGTATGACGCTGTCTCAGAATACAAAAGACAGGTATTTAAAAACAACATGGTTCGACCGGCATATCTTAATTAGATTGTTGGGAATGTTTAAATTAGGGCGGTATGAAGTAATTGTTCCATTGTTTATTTATCTCATACTGCCTGTGCTGCTGAACCTCTTTTCCCCTCTGTCTGAAACCAGAGCCCAGTCTGCTCTGATTGGTTAGCTGTCCAGCTCTGTTGTTATCGGTCAACCGCTTAGATGTGTTGGAGCGCTAGCCATAGAAGCGCGACAACACACTTCAGGAAAGGGGAAACCCCAAAACAAAAAATAGGGCCTAGTAAGCAAAAATAGCAGCTTTAGTTCCATATCAGCAAGGTCTGTCCAACATCTACTGTAGGTAATAAACTGAATGTAAATATGTAACACATTCAAACCCACTTAAAAAATCTAAAATTCCAGATGGTTTATTACATTAGTTCTTTGTCTGTTTTTATTAAATTGGTACCTTGTGTGTTTTTAAAGGGTATACCAAATGAAAGCTGGAGGGTAACAAAAGTCAATGACCACTACGAGGTTTGTGACACCTACCCATCAACCCTGGCGGTGCCTGTGAACATACCAGACGAAGAGCTGAAGAGAGTAGCTGCCTTCCGAGCCAAGGGAAGGATACCTGTGAGTGACCTTTCTTCAGCATGAACCACTCCTCATCATATTGTCTGACTGTCTTTGGTAACATTCTGTTATACTCTGTGTGCAGGTGTTGTCATGGATCCATCCGGAGAGCCAGGCCACAGTTACGCGCTGCAGTCAGCCCATGGTGGGAGTAAACGGGAAGCGCAGCAAAGAGGATGAGAAATACCTTCAGGCCATCATGGATGCTAATGCTCAGTCCCATAAACTGTTCATCTTCGATGCCAGGCCCAGTGTCAACGCTGCTGCCAACAAGGTATATAATACTGAAAATCAGCCAAAATCGGAATCAGCCAAGAAAATTGCAATAAGTGCATCTCTATATGTAAAGAAACTCAGGGTCTGCTTGCTAAATGTCTTCCCTTGTTTGTTTTAAAATGTTCTTCTTCAGATGAAAGGGGGTGGTTATGAAAGTGAAGATGCGTATCAAAATGCTGAGCTGGTGTTCTTGGATATTCACAACATCCATGTGATGAGAGAGTCCCTACGCAAGCTGAAGGACGTGGTCTACCCCAACATCGAGGATTCCCATTGGCTCTCCAATCTGGAGTCCACTCATTGGCTTGAGCACATCAAGGTGAGCGAAAGACTTGGTGTTATATACCGGATCTCCTCTCAACTTAAGGAGAATAACAACCACTCTGTTGTGCACGTGTTTTTACTTTTAGTTGATCCTAGCAGGAGCCCTGCGTATTGCAGACAAGGTGGAGTCTGGGAAAACTTCAGTGGTGGTGCACTGCAGCGACGGCTGGGACCGCACGGGCCAGCTCACCTCCCTGGCCATGCTCATGCTGGACGCTCACTACCGCACCATCCGCGGCTTCGAGGTGCTGCTGGAGAAAGAGTGGCTGAGCTTCGGTCACCGCTTCCAGCTGGTAAACACTTTTTATCACACTATTTTGACGTTTGGTAAAAATACAAGTGCTTTGTTGGTTTATCAGTTGCATCGCTGATTATCCTTTGTTCTTCTTTTAGCGTGTTGGTCACGGCGATAAGAACCACACCGACGCAGACCGCTCACCTGTTTTCATTCAGTTCATCGACTGTGTCTGGCAATTGACTCGCCAGGTAAGCAATAAATGGAGCTGATCTTCAGATCAACACGGTCTTTCAATGACACTAAAGAAGCTGTTATTATTTTAGTTTCCTGCTGCCTTTGAGTTCAACGAAAACTTCCTGGTGACCATCCTGGATCACCTGTACAGCTGCCTGTTTGGGACATTCTTGTGCAACAGTGAACAGCAGAGGCTGAAAGAGGTAAGAGCATTTTTTTTTCTCAAAGCTTTGTTGGAGGTCTGAGTTCAACGTCATGTCAACCTCCCCTTTTTATTTTACAGGAGATTCCCAAGAGAACAGTGTCGTTGTGGTCCTACATCAACAGCCAGCTGGAGGATTTCACCAATCCCTTGTATGTGAACTATACCAACCACGTGCTGTTTCCTGTAGTCAGCTTACGTCACCTGGAGCTTTGGGTTGGCTACTACATCCGCTGGAACCCTCGCATGAGGCCTCAGGTATGGCAATAGGCTTTTTAAGGCCAGATACATTGGGCCAAAACATTGTTTCTTTTTATGCACTGCTCAATCTTGAGATTTTCGGCTGCTTTTTAACTGCTTTCAGACTAGTGGAAAGAAAACCTCAAATATAAATTTTAACAGTTTATTTCACTCAATTTCTTTATTTGCATGTGTAGCATTTACCAAATTCATCCAAACCAGCATAATTAATCATAACATATTTTCCATTGAATAATCCACTTACAATACATATCTTTGAAGCCTCGAATAAGTTTTGTTTTTGTAATACTCAAGAAATCTCCACTTTAATGGCACTTACACACACAGACTGCAGAGGGGTTCATTCATATATCATTAATAGCCTGATTGATCTAGAGTTTTTATTCCTAAAAACATGGAATAAACCTAAAACATAACTTAATGTAAGTAATCTGCTGAAGTTTCCAAGTGGAATTTATTTGTTAAATCTTTACATTATTTACCAGGTCCCCCCCCTTTAGATCGGACTTCAGCGTTTCAAAGAATTTCATGCTTCTCTGAAGTGTTTGAACTTGAGATTTACAGGTCAACCTTTTCTTGTTACTAGGAACCTGTTCATCAGCGCTACAAGGAGTTGCTGGCGAAGCGTGCGGAGCTGCAGAAGAGAGTGGACGACCTGCAGCGAGAGGTGACCAATCGCTCGGCCTCTTCCTCTGAACGTGCCGGCTCCCCCACACGCTCCATCACGCCGGTGCAGACCTTTGTTTGACGTAACTGTGACCCTCATGACGGTCGCGGAAGCTAAACACTACCTGTGAGAAGCTGACAGTAGTCATCTGTAGGCCACGCCATGAAGGACCTGGGTGCTAAACTGGCTCTTTGGGTGAAACGCCGCGTTACACACTACCACCAAATGTCTGTTTGTGTTTGCACATTTTACGGGGAATATAGAGTCTGCTTACAACCGGAGACTGTCTCTTAGTGCTTTGACCACAGCCATATTGTTCTCTGCCTCCAGAGTCGAGATGTTAGTGATAAGAATAGTGAGTACTGTCATAGCTCATCGACCCACCTACAATCAGTGTTGGACCATTTCTGAAGTACACTAAAATATTACTCTGGTGAATTATGTATGCCTTATACACTTCATAGGAACACTCACTTCATTCCTCTGCACTGCAAATGTTAAGAGATTGATTTAAAAGCAATTGTGAAGATGTAAATGACTGGGTTTGAGCTCTAGTACTTAAACTAAGTGGTCTGTGAGATTCAACAAAGTAGCTAAAGGGCTGTTAGCTTCTAATGTTAGGAAAAATACATAGCATTAAAATAAGTTGGCAGATTGTCTTCCAAAGTCAGTGCTTTTAGATTGTTGTGACCAAATATCTCAGTTTTTTTATGAATACATAGACTTATGTCTTGTATTAATCTCATGTTTTGTAATTTTCATTTTTCTAACTAGTTATTTATTATCCTTCTTTCCAGACTTGTATGCCTGTCTAATATCACAAATGAATTAGAAATGTTCCCATCCAATATGAATGGATCAGAATATGCAACAGTTAATTTCTCCAATTAATAATTAACATTAAAAGTTAGTGTGTATCCATTTCTTAATATTCTTTAAAAAAAAAAACTAGTAGCAGCCAATGTGTTTTTATAGGAAGCAGAATATGTAACAATAGTTTGCCTTGGGTGTTTATTTCACATTTTATTTTAAATATCTGTGCCTTGGTCTAATTGAGAGATAGGGGGATAGCACAGTTTTTAAAATGTCAACTAATACTGGTGAAGCGGTTAATACAGTGTCAGCCTTTCCACTGCGTATGTAAATACTTTCAATAAACAAAGGACACAGGAGTCGGTAGGATTTCCATAGCGTGATGTGTGAACACAGCTTATTTCCTGACTTTAATCTTTTAGTGTTTCAAAGGATAGCAGAACCCCAACGACATGAGCAATAACTGTAAAATATGAGGCACGTTATGCATAATTAAGATAAAGCGTACTTACATTTTTTATTATTTATAAATGTCATATTCATTAACCTTCATTACACTCGCTGAATAATTCCTTTTTAGACATTTGAAATGCTGTTATACCGTTTATCATTAGGTGGTGCTGTACGCTAGCAATACAGTCTCTGGTGCTAGTTAGTCAGGAGTAACGAAGCCGTTTCCAGAACAGTATGCACACTAATGAGTGTGACTTTCTTTTTTCTCAGCATTCCCAATACTGATACCGCTAACAGTGATTATGGTCTCCATCTAATATAAAGTAATATTAGACTCAGTGGCTCTGGAATCATTTTTACATGATCATATTCAAGCGGTCTCTCATACCTGAATATTAGATGACTGGCCATAATTGAGCTTTAATGCATCCTTTACCCATTAACAGGCTTATCATTCCATTGACTTTACATTGTAATTCATACATTCTTACCTATAACTTCAAATTAATTGATATTGCCACTAAAATTGCTTAAGTTAGTCATATTTCTATTACTGGCATTACTTTTTATAATTCAAAAGAGCCTCATCCAAATGAGTATTTTTTATCAACAGAATGTGACTTTATGTAGCTGCTGCACAGAATTAGGTTATATTAATGTTGATTGAAACGTGTCACACATTTCAGAATTAGGATCCAATCTGTTCGATGAGGCACTGAGCTGCAAACAGGGGCGCCATAAGGGGGTGAAAAGTTAGGACGATTCGAAGGGCCCGTGACTGACAGGGGCCCAAACAATTTTAGAACATTAAGAAAAAATATGTTTAAGTCACCAATCTTAACATGGGGCCCAAAATCACTGGTTAATACCCTCAATAAAAGGATGACAGACAGTATCAACAGTACAGGTATCCAGCATGTATTGAATTCATAGTTGTGTTACAGCAGCCACTTTAGCATCAACTGAAGATTGCAGGCCCTCTTATGAATGACAACTTTTCTGAAACAAAACATATCGATTTCTAATAATAAAAAATAACATTTGTAAGATTAAGATTAATCGAGAATTAGCAGACATGGAAAAAGACTTTCGGGCGGCACCAAAGTTGTTCTGGAAAACTGTCCGACACCTCAGGAGGGGGAAGCAGGGAACCATCCAAGCTGTGTACAGTAAGGATGGGACGTTGTTGACCTCAACTGATGGAGTGTTAGGGCGTTGGAAGGAGCACTTTGAGGAACTCCTGAACCCGACAACTCCGCCCTCTATGTTAGAGGCAGAGCTGGAGTATGACGGGGGATCGACACCAATCTCCCAGGGGGAGGTCACTGAGGTCGTCAAACAACTTCACAGTGGCAAAGCCCCGGGGGTGGATGAGATCCGCCCAGAAATGCTGAAGGCTCTGGGTGTTGAGGGACTGTCATGGTTGACACGTCTCATCAACGTTGCGTGGAAGTCGGAAACAGTACCGAAGGAGTGGCAGACCGGGGTGGTGGTTCCCCTTTTTAAAAAGGGGGATCAGAGGGTGTGTGCCAATTACAGAGGCATCACACTACTCAGCCTCCCCGGGAAAGTTTACTCTAAGGTACTCGAAAGGAGGATCAGGCCGATTGTCGAACCTCAGATTGAGGAGGAACAATGCGGATTCCGTCCTGGTCGTGGAACGACGGATCAGCTTTTTACTCTCGCAAGGATCCGTGAGGGGGGCTGGGAGTACGCTTATCCAGTCTACATGTGTTTGTAGACTTGGAGAAGGCGTATGACCGGGTTCCCAGGGAGTCACTGTGGGAGGTGCTGCGGGAGTATGGGGTGAGGGGTCTCTACTCAGGGCCATCCAATCTCTGTACTCCCAAAGCGAGAGCTGTGTCCGGGTCCTCGGCAGTAAGTCGGACCCATTTCAGGTGAGGGTTGGCCTCCGCCAGGGCTGCGCTTTGTCACCAATCCTGTTTGTAATATACATGGATCGGATTTCGAGGCGTAGTCGTGGGGGAGGGGGTCTGCAGTTCAGTGGACTAAGGATTGCACCACTGCTTTTTGCAGATGATGTGGTTCTGATGGCTTCATCGGTCTGCGACCTTCAGCACTCACTGGATCGGTTCGCAACCGAGTGTGAAGCGGCTGGGATGAGGATCAGCACCTCCAAATCTGAGGCCATGGTTCTCAGCAGGAAACCGATGGACTTTCCACTCCAAGTAGGGAATGAGTCCTTACCCCAAGTGAAGGAGTTCAAGTATCTCGGGGTCTTGTTCTCGAGTGAAGGAACAATGGAGCGTGAGATGGGTCGGAGAATCGGAGCAGCGGGAGCGGTACTGCAGTCTCTTTACCGCACCGTTGTGACGAAAAGGGAGCTGAGCCAGAAGGCAAAGCTCTCTGTCTACCGCGCCATTTTCGTTCCTACCCTCACCTATGGTCATGAAGGATGGGTCATGACCGAAAGAACGAGATCGCGGGTACAAGCGGCCGAGATGGGTTTTCTCCGCAGGGTGGCTGGTGTCTCCCTTAGGGATAAGGTGAGAAGTTCGGTCATCCGGGAGGGACTCGGAGTTGAACCGCTCCTCCTTCGCGTCGAAAGGAGCCAGTTGAGGTGGTTCGGGCACCTAGTTAGGATGCCACCTGGGCGCCTCCCTAGGGAGGTGTTCCAGGCACGTCCAGCTGGGAAGAGACCGAGGGGTAGACCTAGAACCAGATGGAGGGATTATATCTCTTCGCTGGCCTGGGAGCGCCTTGGGATCCCCCAGTCAGAGCTGGTTGATGTGGCCAGGGAAAAGAAAGTTTGGGGCTCTCTGCTGGAACTGCTACCTCCGCGACCCGACCACAGATAAGCGGGAGAAGATGGATGGATGGAGAATTAGCAGAATTCCTAATAATGATTGTTTCCATTTAAAACGATGCACCTATCATTTAGGACTCAATGATTACACACACAAAATTCTTCACAGGCAAACTGGATGGAATAAAAAATAAATAAAAAAAAGTCGTGACTTTAGTAATTAAATCAATTGTTCAAGTTACTTACATAATTATACCTGATCATGGATAGTGGCCAATATAATAATTAAATATAATAGTATGCATACATAAATAAAACAAATAAAATAGATGAAATAAGATTGTATTATAAATTAAATACAAAATAGATAAATTATGGTAAATAAATATAAAGTATCCACGCTTGTGATTGGCTCTGCGCATTTCAAACAGTAAATCCCGCGGACGGATGTTGTGTCGCGATAGGTTTCCTTTCTTCTTGTGGAGCTCACTTCCTGTTACATGACGACGACGGCGTTGATACAAAAAGAGAGAAGGAAAACAGGAAAATACCTTTCTTGGCGAGAACAGTGGAAACTTAATACAAATAGACAGATATATGTTAACGGGTTGCTTATTCCGCGGCATTAGGAACGACTCGTCGGAAGTTGGTCGGGCTGGATAACGTGATAAAGATAACAAATATTTTGAGTTTATTGTTCTTCGGCTGCTCCCTCCAGCTAAGCTATTTCTGTGTTGCCCAGCGCTACTTAGCCGAGCTAGCTAACGTTAGCTAACAGTGGATGCCAGCGCTTTTTGAGTGTTCTCAGTCCTGAATTAGCGAAAGGGCTAGAGAGGAAATAGCGTCGGTAATCCGGTCAATTTGCAGCTGGACTCAGCTAACCTCATCTAGCTCGGTGACATCAGTTCAGCGAGAATGGCAACGTCGGCTCTGTACGCCTGTACGAAGTGTAACCAGCGGTACCCCTTCGAGGAGCTGTCGCAGGGCCAGCAGCTGTGCAAGGTAACTGGATGTGTGTGTGTGGGGTCGAGGATGCCTTCAAACAATACTCAACAACAAATCCCAAGCGTAAAACTGTTGATGTTTTGTGAGGGGTTGATGCCGTGTGGTGAGATGCTCTTTCGACAAGCCAGATTATGTAACAGCGTTGATCTGTCCAACCTGGAAGCGCTAATACAGAGAGTGTAATCTTGTTTAGATCATGTCATACGTCGATCCTGATTATTACAGAGTTAAAACTCAGTCCTACTGAATCATTACACACTGAACAATAATTACTAAGGGTTTAAAATAATTTTAGTTTTTAGGAATTGCCATGGGTGTAAATACTTGCTAACGTATTCCACTTGTTGCCTTGTTTAGAGATTATTTGTATTCCAAAGTGTGTTTCTAAACATCCAAGTCTGCACTGATTCATATCTTTTAAAAGAAGGTAGTATAGACTAAATGGACAGTTTTATCACTGCATTTCCTATAGTCAGAACTTTTCTTTGTACATGATAGTTAAAGCACAAGGTCAATGAAAACTGCAAAAACATTACAGTTGTTTTATCATTGTTTTACCTCACTATTAGATAATGCCACTTCGATGTATCCAACATCGGCTCTAGTTTATTGAGCTTATGTTTCCTACTCTGCCCACCCCTTCTGGAATAATATCTTGTGTTGACCAACCTAAATCAGTCAAATTAAAAACGTATTTCTCTTCTTGTATACAGTACACCCAAATAGTTGGGTGTTATTGCGAAACACAAGTTGTTATGAGGCGAGGCACAAGTTGTTATGAGGCGAGGCACTGTTCTTTCTGACGTGCCCGTTTTAATAGCACAATAACACATGAGAACATTTCTTTGTTTTGTTGCCACAGGAATGTCGCATTGCACATCCAATAGTGAAGTGCACATTCTGCAGATCTGAGTTTCAACAGGAAAGGTGAGACATTTCCTCCTTGTGGTGAATTTCAGCAGTAATATATGCTATTATTAATAGAGGATGTGTGCATTTTTTTGGGTTCTAACCCCGGTTTATTATTTACAGTAAAACCAATACAATCTGCAAGAAGTGTGCTCAGAACGTCAAACAGTTTGGAACAGTAAGTAACAACTTCTTCTTGAAGCACTTTGCACTCCAGTTGTATTTATTGTGTGGCACTCACATTTGTTTACAGTCGATGATGTCTCTCTTTACAGCCCAAACCCTGCCAGTACTGTAACATCATTGCAGCTTTTATCGGGACAAAATGTCAGCGCTGTACTAACTCAGAGAAGAAATATGGACCTCCACAGACCTGTGAGCAGTGCAAACAGCAATGTGCTTTTGACCGTAAGGAGGAAGGCAGGAGAAAGGTACAAACCTCACACACTTGCAGCCACATCTGACAGTGAATGTCAAGTTTCCTCTGGTTTTGTGCAGATTCCCCACTTGTAAAGGGACTTCAGGCATCTACTGGACTTTGAGAACAGGATTCCACTCCAATGACACAGCTTTTCTTTTCAGACTTTTTATTTAGCAGTTAACTTAAATGTCTTTGCTGACTGGGTCACTTTATGCAGGTGAAAGACCTTTGAAAACAAGAAAGGTGCATTTTAGAATTTGTAAGTTATCAAAAATAAATAAAGCATGTAAACATGTAAATAAAGCATGTAAACAATACATTTGTTTGCCAACGGCTGCCTTAATCATGAATATGTTACACATAGATTGAGCCGACTAAGCACAGAAATATCCATTTTAAAAACATAAAAACATTTCTTTAAACCCCAGCTCTTTCAAAATCTCAGCAGATTTAATTAACTGGACTTTACTAGAAATGTTAACAAATTAATTATTTTTAAACAAGAAAATATTCTTTCCTCCTTTTAACAGAGGTATTCAATGAATTAAAACAAGACTTCACTATCAATCAATTCTTTAACAAGAAAGATTATGTTCTCCCCTTTTAGCAGGAATCTTCAGTCGAATAAATTAACAGGATCTTATTAGAAAGGTTTTTAGCAAATCAAAATAATACTTTTTAAGAATAAATATTCTGCTTATTTTACCTATCCTTCTGACGATAAATAACAGAGCGTGTTCCGCACAATTAGCGCACCACATTAAAACCTACATCTAAACAACGCTGCGTAGGGTTCTAACAAGACACGTGGGACACAAGCAAACAATCTAACAGAACATAAACATTAGTGGCTCTGCAGAGCTCTCACACAACATTATGGATCGGATCTTACCGGCTGCCTGTCCTGACTTGGTAGAAATGCCTCCCGTCTACACGCTTCAGTCTACCAGGATTGCACTCAGCAACTATTTAAATCCTTCTCCAGGATGCAGCTCTGTGAGTAGGGTGATTGCACCCAGCTTGCCAGAGGAGGCAGGACCGCCTGCAATCATTACACACCTGTTGTCTATCCCTATTAATTGGCGATTTGTATCTAAATGAAACATATTTGTAGCTCTAATGATTTAATTTCTGATTAGAATTAAGCTATTTTGTTATTGATATGTATCCATATATATTATTTTTCGACTACTTGTAATCTGTTTTTTATTTTATATTTATTAAAGCCTTAGGCTCTGTTTGACTTAACAGTGAATATGTAACAGCTAGTTTAATATGGAGTACTATATCCTTCTTGTCTTACAGGTGGACGGGAAATTGCTCTGCTGGCTCTGTACCTTGTCTTACCGCCGTGTCCTGCAGAAGACCAAGGAGCAGAGGAAGGGCTTCGGCTCCTCCAACTCCTCCTCCCTGAATGAGAAAGACCACCACTCCAGACCTCACCATCATCACCACCACCACCAACAACACAGACACAGCAGCTCTCATCACAAGTACGTCCTCTGTCGGGTCATTATTGGGCATTAGTAATGACACTTGTGTATAGTATGCTATAGATGGTTGTTAATATGAAGCATTCAAAAGTAGGAAGTAGATCGAGGGAATTAATGGCTACATTATCTCACACAGACTAAGTGGGAGCTTAAGTCCAGAGCAGGAGCAGGGGCTGTGGAATAAGAGGTAAAACTTCCCTTTTCACCTCAACTTAGACCCTCCAGAAAAACCGGATTCTGCGATCGCAGAATTTACCGCATAATCAGCAAAATGACGCAGATTTTTAAAAGGCCGCATATTTATCAAAAGGCTGCATAATCCCCGCATTTTTCCACACAAAGTTGAGGGGGAAAAAAGTTAACTCGTCTTGACATGACGTCATCAGCTCGCGCATCACAGAATGTAAACAACACTGTATAGAGTGAACGTGTGGAGCTCACACGATAGGGAAAACACCAAGATGAAAAAATCTAATCCATCTCATTTACCGACGAACATTTCTACTAAAGACCGGGCAAAAAGTGGGGGGAAACTATTCTGCACCCCGTGCAACTGTGTGTTGGAGCATAAGAGAAAATCGACGGTGGCGACCCACTTTGATTCATTCAAACATTCGAAAATGCTTTCTGCTGCTGCGGACAAGAAAGCCAAACAACTCACGTTCACCGAGGCATCAACCTCCAAAACCCCTTTCGAGGTGCTCAAGAAACGAAGTGAGTACGCCTACAAGAATTGAAGCTGGTCAGAAAACGAACGAGCTAACCATGAAAACAGAATGAGGCGGAGAAGTTTGCTGTGTGTGTGTGTGTGGTGTGTGTGTGGTGTGTGTGTGTGTGTGTGTGTGTGTGTGTGTGTGTGTTGTGGTGTGTGTGTGTGTGTGTGTGTGTGTGTGTGTGTCCGTGTGTGTGTGTGTGGTGTGTGTGTGTGTGTGTGTGTGTTGTGTGTGGTGGGTGTGTGTGTGTGTGTGTGTGGGTGTGTGTGTTGTGTGTGTGTGTGTGTGTGTGTGTGTGTGTGGGTTTGTGTGTGTGTGTGTGTGTGTGTGTGTGTGTGTGTGTGGTGTGTGTGTGCGTGTGGTGATAAAATTGGCCTTTTACAATAAATAAACATTGAATGTGTTTAATTGAATAGTAAAGGGGTTTAACGTTAGTGGCAGGTTGTGTGTGAGAGAGAATAAATAAGACCAGCCCAAATATTTAAAGAAATTGTTATTAATTTTTTCCTGCATATTTCGCAACTTTCCGCTATTTATGCACTCCCGCAATTTTCATCCGCATAAAATCACAATAAAACCACGCATGTTTACTCGCATAATCAAAGGATTTTAGCCCGCATAATCAAGGATTTTTTGCCCCGCGTTTTTCTGCCTGGAGGGTCTATCAACTGCGTAATAGGACGGGGAANGAAAAGCTGGAGGCCGGAAAAGAGTGAGACAGGTAGCGCGCAAAAGTAAAAGTGGAACCGAGAGTGGTACGAGAGACAGAACGAGAGCAAGACAGACAGACATTACGAGAGCGAGACAGTTTGTCCCCGTACCACTGGTTGAAAACCACTGCTGTAGATCACTGCCGGTACGTGCCCTGGGAGCGCACCGTTTAAGTTTGAAAGTTGAAAAGTTTGTGTGTCTGAAACGCTATGTGATACAGTACAGTTTACACAGCACAGTACATGTTCTGTAGCTACTATTGCATTAAATGCTAACACTTGAATACGTTATGCAAATATGCAACTTGTTTGTTGAAATGTTAATAAATGAGAGCTTCCTCAAACAGCCATCTCTTTCCCGACAATCCCCTCTGTGCACGAACCCTTACATATGGTAATTAAACATTAAAACACCTGCGGCTTATAGTCCAGTGCGGCTTATATATGTACACATCATTCAATTTAGCTGCTGCGGCTAATATTCAGGTGCGCCTTATAGTCCGAAAATTACGGTAGTCATAATCACTTTAGTTCCTTTCACTTAGTTTAACACTTACCATATCTTCAGTAGCCAGATACATGAGCAGGGATTCGGAGGAAAATGTGCGGAACTTAAAGGTCACGCTGG